GCCAGCGCGCTCGAGCGCGCGCGTCCGCGTGCACACACCGACCGGCTATTCGAAACAGGAGCGTGTTAAGAAGTTTCGACTTTGAGGACGTTCGACGCGATAATCGTCGAGGAGAACGAACGGTTGGTCGGACGCGAGCACGATATTCATGCGCGGTAAAACGAACGGTAGGAGGAACGAAAGAAAGTACATAGAAGTTGCAGAGAGAGAAGGAAGGAATCGCGTTCGATTTCGCGGGCGAACGTTTCGATCGTCCGGGACAGGATCGTTTCGTGGAGCCTCGGTGCTCGAGGAACACGCGTTTCGGACGTCGCGTTCGAGGGCCGTCGAGAAATCGAAACGAGTTTCGCGGATCTCGATCGACGATCGAGTTTCGTCGGCAGAACGAATCGGCGAGGACGAATTCGCGAAGAATAGTAGGTATAATTCGTGTCGGGAACGATCCGAGAGAATTTCTAGCTACAGCCCTGGTATTCCATCCACCTACATCGCGGCAGGGTCACCGCATGCACCACCACACCGTTCGTTCTTGCATACATGGGCGCGTACGTGCCCTTATGTATGTACCTCGGAGAGCTATATCCCGGTTTCTCTCGCTCTCGTTCTCCTTTCCTTTCTCGTTTTAGCAGCCGGTCTTCTCTATTTGCTAGGTAGAGGCGAGCGCTCTCGCTAGCTCACCTACAGCGACGTTACGCTCGCGCTCTCGCTCCGATACACCTCTAGGCAGACTCGGTCGAATGGATCGTACGGGTTACGCGAACGCGCGGCCATCGACGCTCGTACGTTCGTAAGTACGTTCGCGAGTACGTGTACGTGAACGTGCACGCGTCGAAACGCGGAGAGCGCGCACGCACGGTTCATCGCGGCCATGCATTCGCTCGGCGAAGCGACTAGACTGGCAGGAAATCGACCGATCGATCTTTCCCGCGGAGTTCGCGAAGGACATCCGACTATTTTCTCGTCTCTGAAGTAACGGCGTCTCGGAAATTCTGCGAGCACGGAAAATCGCGCGCGTAGCTTTTCTTTCGGTCCGCTCGATGCTCGAACGCCGTTCGCCACGCTTCGAAATTGCTCACGGCGGGAACATAAAATCGTTTTCGATTCGTTGCTCGGAGGCGCGCAAATATTACGTCGAAAATTCCTCGTCGTCGGTCGAACATAGCCACGACCTTCCAGCGATCGCGATCTCGTCGCGTAATTTACGTAACTCCGTTGCTACTATATATATATATATATA